TACAAGGACAACACTTCCAAACTGCTCTGTTATCCCCAAAACATGTTACAGAAACCCATGTTTTAAAACAGAGAAACATTATACCTGAGAGGTGATTCTGCTCCTTGATCAGCAAGGGCCGTAACAGCCAGGTCCAGAGCCTGAGTAGCGGTGCTCCATGCAAGATCCACTTCAATTAAACTATGACTCCACTTCTGTGCTATCAGCTCCAAGCCTGAACTAGACAGTCTTGTGACATAACACCCTGAAATACAATTCCAACCAATTAATATTTTACAATTTCTGTACCTGGCTGTTAAGATATGGTTCTTAACAGATTCAATGACCATTATAAGATAGCATCCTGTTGTGGAGCATAATAACTAATAATGGTATTCTATCTATCACACAACAAATGTAAATATATATTACTACAACATAAACTTCATTATAATGATACAGTTGGAATAATCGCACAGTATACACTATATGTGGGTGCACCCACATCTACTGTTATCTGAATTATTTCTGCAATATCTAGAACATAAGTATATTTTTTAACATCCTGGAGAAACAGAAAATCAAAGCATATTATAGATAAATAGACAGCTCTCATTTTATACAACACTAATTTCACTAATATAAACACAACCCTTTCTAATTTTAACAGTCGGCACCAAGAATTACAGTTCACAGTGGAGAATAAAGATTGTCTGTTTCACATTAAAATTTGAAGTTAACTTTTATTCTAATGCTAGGCACAATGCAACTTCAAGAACAAATGACTTCAGTTACACTGAAATTACTGTTTGTCAACAACAAATATTTTATATTTTTACGTAATTATCGCTATCAGTATAGCGACTGACTACAGATGGGATGACTGAGATTTGATCCCTGACAGGGGCAGAGGATTTTTCCTCTAGCCTCTGCATCCAGACCAGCTCTGGGACCTACCCAGCCTCTTATCAAATGGGTGCCAGGGTCCTTCCCTTGGGGTAAAGTGCAGGCAGGGCCCATATCTAGTGTCGAGGTAAAGAATGAGTAGAAACTACACCTCTTCTCCCCCCAAATGCCTACATGGTGTATAGCAGAACAGCATTACCTTACTTTTTCACTTTTAATTATGTAATGTTCTAACTGATGACACACATATGCATTAATTGGCATGGTACAAGGTGGTGTAAAGAATGTTCCCGAATGGAAGTTTAAATAAAAGCTTGAATATTCATATAATGGTACATACATTTCTATGAATACAAAGAACAATTCATGGAGATTTATCCTTTATGGATTACATGCTCAATATGACCACCAATGTGTCATGCAGCTTCTGAAACACAAATGGCTATGTGATCACTCGATGGTACATGTCCTCCGTAATTTCACAACACATTTTAACAATCAAAGCCCAGGGTTGTATAAAAACTGATTTAAAAAACCCTCAATAATGCAATGTGTGGTGAAATTAAGGAGGATATGTGCCGTTGAGTGACCACAAATGTAGCATGACACAAAGGTTGTCATATTGAGCATGTAACCCATAAAGGATAAATCCATGAATTATTCTTTGTGTTCATATAAATGTATGTACCATTACACAAATATTACAGCTTTTATTTTAACTTTTAATTAGGTATCATTTCATTTGCCACCCTGCATATAAACTACCATTTCTAAGTGCCATTGTTGCAGCATGCCATGTTGTTTTTAGAGTTCCTTTCAAGAAAATTAAATTGAAACTAATCTCTGGTGCACTGCACCCCATAATAAAACCCCCTAAAAATACACTGACTACTGGGGTAAGTTATCTACTTAGTTATGGAGGAAGTAAACATGTTAAATTTTGACAATACAAGACAGCAGTACTTCATGTTTTAAGATCATAAAGACCAGTTAGCAGGATTATTTTTTTACTCTGTTTGTGCAGTGAGTTCATGACTGTGAAACTGACCCTCATTTAACTTTATTACTTTATTCTATGATGAAACCTGGTTCCATTTGCATGGATAAGCCCCCCACCCCCCTACAAAAAAGCACTAACTGGAGTTCTGAAAATTAGTAATTAATGTGCAATACCTCTACTAGTGTGCGTGTATGTATGTTTGTGTACCGAGGCAACATTTTCAGCACCTCCTACAATCTAAATATGTTGCTTGCTATAGAACACTATGAGCTTTAAATCCTCACATTAGCCTGAATGTCCAAAGACACTCAACACTTCTGTCTGCATACTCTCTGTACTGATGAAGGATTTGGGACAGGATGAAGTTACACATTTCCATGAATCCTCCGTCTCCTGCATAGCTTATGCACAACATTTTCTCTCAACCCAAAGATTTATAAATAAGACTGGAAAGGTATAATCGGTATTGGAATACACCTATTTCCACGTGCATTCTTTGTACCTGTGTTCTGAATGCTCATATCTAACAAAAATATACATCATACTACATATACACATATTACACAAGCATTAAAATAAGTATCATCTACATAAGCACATCAATAGATCAAAGAGGGTGTAAAAGCATATCTTTCCAAAATGAGACTGATTCAGTAACTCTTATCTATTTATCTTTTGTTCACAAAAGAAAGTGGATCAAATTGCAATCCAACTTTGTAATGTCCACTATTACCACTAAAATACAAAAGCATAAATTTTTAAATGTTTTGTTTCTTCTCTACTGATTCATTTGTTTATTGGGAACTAACTGTTAAGACAACAGCATAGATTGAAGAAGAAAAACTTGACTATGTTCCTCAATCATGTTTTTCCACAGCACTGGATCGGACATGCTGCTGCTAATGGAGACAACAACCTTCTCCCTCGGCCATCCTGTTCGCAAGATCTTACACCGTGCAATTTCTTTCTTTTGGGGTTCGTTAAAGACAGCGTTTATATACCACCATTGCCCACGTCCATCCATGAACTTCGTGATTGGATAACGCATGCACTGCAGGCCATTACAGCGGACATGCTACACCAGGTCTGGGATGAGTTTGATTACCGTGTGGATGTGTGTCGTGTGACCCAGGGTGCACACATTGAAGGATTGTAATTAACGCATGAGAAACTTGGACAGTTTCCGCCGCTGACGATGTATGTTGTGCCCGTGTGAGGTGAGAAATAAATTTTTTATTAACTTTTGAAACTGCACCATTCTTTTGTGTATACCCTGTATTATAAACTGATCTATAAATGCACTACTAAGAATACAATATATTTCCAAATGCATCTTAGCCTTTAAAGAAAGTGTATTCATAAAATAAATCTTATCTATGCCTTACTTAACATCAAGTTCTAACTCTGCATATCATGTTTCCTAATATCTTCTGTAATGTACCATCTAGGCCACTAGGCCTATTAGTGGCCACAGTTCCACAGAAAGTATCCCCCTTTAACAACAAAAATAATGTAAATCCGTAATAATGTAACACAATGTGAGTTAGATCTGCAGTAGCATAATGAACTCACGTGCAGGGAATAATGGGAATGAATCCTGGTCAAGTCAACATCTTTTATTTTTTCATGCAGCTGCCATGTATTACAATGTACAATAATTACTGTAAGAAAGTTGTGTATTTTTCTAAATCTATAACCACACATCGCTGCATGACCCTATATTAAATGATACTAATGTTGCTCCCACCTCACAAGTTCGTTGGTCTGTCATGTTGGTATTACTGACTGTGGGAAATTAAAAAAACATGAGTATAGGGTAGCTTCCAATAGCATAACATCCATACAAAATTCTGTCAAAGTCCATCCACTGGTTCTCAAGATAAATTATGTGGATGAACAAACAGATAGATGGATAGATATCTTCAGCCCAAAATGCATTCATTTTGTGCACATCAATGAATGCACAATAATATTGATGCTACATTAAACACAAAACCTCTTCATCAGCAACTCTTACTTCATGCTGACAGCAAGGCCACAGCTTCTACTTCTTAGACAGCAAATGTATATGAAAGCAGTAGCAGTGTGAATGGCAGTGCAGTACCCAAGATTTTGAAATAAAGTTCCAAAAGAAATAGTTCTATTATGTCATGGAGTGATGATGAAGAAGACCATTATGAAGAGAGACAGGATGAAACAGACATATAAAGGAAAACTATTAATGGAGATAGTGACAAGGCCTAAACCACATGAAAGATAGATAATTTGAAATGGATGAAACATTAAACTAGAACAGTGATGCGCAACCAGTGTTCTGCAGCACACCAGTGTGCCACGGAGGCCATCTGGATGTGCCACAAAATGTTCACCTCATACTATAATTATAACCATAATGAGATAAATAATTTTTATGTTGTTTTCTGCTCTGTCTCAGTTTTCATTTTCTTCATTAAGGTCGGGCAGACAAGATCTACTGAATGGAATTGGAAAACAGCACAACCACTTTGCAGCAAAACATGTGCACCTCCACTTTACTTTTATTGCTACTCTGTGCATTTTTCTGCAAAAAGAGGCAACAGTAAATCGAAACCACATAGCTATTAAATGGATTATAGATTTTAATAATTAGATAATTATTGATGTCTAGCCTTATTTTAAATCTAAGACTTTTTCTGCTCACATCCAGTGTTTGTAAATGATGGTCATATTCCATAAAAATATCTCATATGCAGTGGGTTGCAGAAAACTGATTTGAATACTGTGAAATAATTATATATAATCTACATCTAAAAATATGAATATGTATCTTTAAGTTTTAATGATTAAATGATATGTATAAATATAGTTTAACTTATTTCAAATAATGAATATATTTAAAGTAAATGACAATAATAAACATGGTTAATTATAAACATCTAATAGAACATTTTTCAGTTGGGGTCGATTTGTAAAACGTTGTCGTGGCCAACAAACACACACACAATATACAAAATCCGTGGCGTAACAGCTCCAGAGAGCCAAAGCCGACTAGCTTGACTGCTGGCCTCATGTTCACATGCCTAAGCAGAGGTGAATGATCATCCAACCAGATATAGGGTGACGTGTGGTCAGCACAACGAACCCCCAGCCATTGCTAGTTTTCCTGACTGGATTAAGCTACCCATTGTAGCTCCCAAATTTCCTCACAATGCTGGGTTGGCACTGGTCCCATACACTGGTCGAAAGCTCATGAGAAAATTTCTTCTCCACCGAGACTCGAACCAGCGCGCATTCCGTATCGCCGGTCCGAAGCATGATGCCTCAGACAGCACGGCTACGGCGTGAGACCAATATACAAAATGGGGTTGGTGGAATGACCAAGAAAGCAATAAACTTCAACAAGCACAGTCCTTCTTCAGAAGCTAAAAATATGTTAGTCCAACCAACCAACCAACCAAAAAAAGCTAACTAAGGGTGGAGTCCTGCGCAAGCGCAAGCATCGTCCCTTCCTAGGCGACACCATTCCTGTGCATGAGATATTTGGTTGGCTGGATCTCTCGGGTTTGAACCCAGAGAGGGAGGGGCCGTTTCGGCTGAAGGCCTCTGCGGCGTGGGGGGGAGATCACTTCAGCTGATGGCCTCCATGATCCGGGGCGTGCCCCTATTAAATTATACCCTGGCATTCGCCTTACAACTGAGGAAAAGCACGGAAAACCTCAGTCAGGGTAGTGTGCAGTTAGTCAAGAAATACCACATATTTTATAGAACCCAGAGGTTCATTACCATGTTCACAAAAGCCTCCAACCAGCACTAGAACTCAATGTAAGTTAAAAAAATGTCTTTTTAACTAATCATAAAGTCATATAGAATGCTCAGCTTGACTACTAACTATTACTTCATGATAATCCACCAAATTTTACAAGCTGTACACCAACAGAACTTACCAGAAAGAAAAAGATGCTCTAAATCCCAAGCTGGAACTCTGACTAAACTTGAATCTGAAACTCGTGAACATCCCCGCACATCCAACAACTTCAGCTTATGAGAACTTTTCAAGATTCTTTCAACAGAATTGTCATCCATGACAGGTGTTGAACAGAATCCATCCACTGCATTACCAGCTACACTCAGCTCCTCCAGAGCTGGAAAACCAGGGGATGCAACCTATGGAAAGATGTCATAAAAGAAAGTTTCTGTAATTACAGAAGAAAATATTGCAGTTTTTGGTAAATAATTCAGAGAATTTTAAACCAAATTAATCAAAATCACATTAGTGGGTATAATGAAGCCTCTTTGGGCATTAAGACATGTTGGTATGCGATAATTTTCAACATTTCTGAGACTATCTCTGCCTCCATCAGGGACTGACACGACATGATATGTAACTGTTTGTTGCAGGACAAGCTACCATAACATATGCATACAACAAGCAGTTGGCTTCTGAAAAGCAACGTAAAGAACTAAAACATCAGACCTTTGAACAGCGATGTAAAGAAGTAGAATATCAGATAGAGACAGCGCTCAGGAAGGAGCGGGTTGCTCTAGTGAGATAAAACTGTCAATACATTAACAATAACAATGTTATATTAAAATCTCCCAAAAAACAAAATACATAAAACCAAAATTTTTAGCATATTTTTATTATAAGGTGTTCTTCACACTCTACTCTAGTATGGGCCAGTATGTATGTCTGTCTGTGGCAGTTTTCTGTGAGGGAAAGCAACCTGCATTACTGGGGGGGTTTCTGTTGCACAACAGGAAAAGAGGTCATTGTTCGAACACACCGTTCCACACATCATCATAACATTAGTGCAAGAATGGCCTAATGTGCAGCAATTGACCTTGAGTCACAATATTGAAAGAATGATCTAAGATCACATCAATGCAATAATGACCTCCATGACGTGGAGTGAAGAATACTCTGGAAATGTCAGTGTACTTTCAAAGTACACATCTTTCCAGTCTTGCTTTTATTGGCATGCTAGGCCTATGGTATCAAGTAAGTGTATGTTTCCCCCACAGTAATATCTGAAACCCACAAAACACTTTCATAATACATAACGAGAACATCAATTCATATTCAGGGCTGGCACAAGGGTATATGGCACTCATGGTGAACCTTAAGCCTTGTGCAATCCACCAATTAACTGTGTACATTAGTATGAATAAAACTTCTACATCTGTAATTTCAGACTGTCTTCATGATAAAGGAGAACAATGTGATACCAGTGTTGAATGTGCACTGTCATTGTTCTACACTTCGTACAAAATATGTACTAAAAGAAATACATATCAGAATTTAGAACCTCTAAAGAAAACAAGTATAAACAAATTACTGAACAGAAGTGAAACAGACCTGATATGCAAGTGACATAACAACTAAAGATGCCCATTGAGAAGACAATCTGCTTGTCAGGAAATTTACCACAACTGGTGACTTCATTACACATACATCAACCATTTAAATATAATATCAAGTAAAGTTGGCGGTATATTAGACAGCTGCAAATGCAAACACACATTTACTCTTTCCTTCCGTTTTTCTCTTATATTCTATGTTACGCTATCTTTCTTTTATTAATTTAGTTCTTCCCACCCCCAAATTTGGCCAACCTAGGAGACAGCCTTGCTTTAGTTAAACCAGCCATGTTACAGCCAATAAAAATACCAACATGGCAGCCACGAGACACTGTGGGGTGTAAGCACCACTGACTTCACTGAGCATATGTTTCTTCTGAAGCTAGTAGTTACTCAGTTGGCCAAGAAATTGCCTGCCTCTTATGAAATCTGAAGGTTCACTACTATGTTCACAAGAACCAATTAAAGGATCCTATATGGAACCATCTGAATCAAGTCCAAATCCTTTTATAATCCACTTTGAACCCGCACACCTTGAGAACAATGGTGAGCATGCTAATCACTAGTCCACTGAGGACAACTCCTGTCTCTCCTAAATGTTGGTAACCACCTACAAGATTACATGGTGTCACAACCCAGTTGACAATGATCCACACTGTCACCACTGTGAAAACCTCAAATCTACTATGCATGAAGAGACAATTATGGATGTTAAAAGCAAAACATTCACTAGAGAGTGCATATACTGTAAAATGAATGACAGCTTAAATTTTATGTTACATAAGTCTGTAGATAATTACCTGTTCCTTTAGCGTTGCAGTTGAAAGGGCAATCTGACTATTGGTTATTCTCAACACTCGTAGTTTCTGGCAACCTTCTTGCAATTTTTCAACGTGTAGTGGGGCTGTAGTATGAGCTACAGTTCGAAGATTTGACAGGTCAAGAACTTGTAAATTGGGACAATGAGCCTATAAGAAATAAAGCAAAACAATAAATCTTTCAATATAAAGATAATCTGATGTTTAAACACAACAACACTTGTTAACATGACAGAAAACTAATACCAGATTGATTGTCTGTAGGTATGTTCCTGAACTCAAGAGTTCAAATAATTTTACTCTGAAATATTACAAGCTTGATGAACTACTGTATGACTGTTAAACTGTAATAGAGTAAACATTTTTTTTATGATGGACATATGATTTTCCATATTAGTTAACTCCCCTTGTGATAAACCTACAGCATCATTATATCCTTAAAGAACATCATACTCATATGAGAAACCAAGAAATTGATTAAAGCAGGAACATGTTATGCTAAGCTATAACTTGTGCTTGTTTCTGATGTGTAAATTTAATTCAGTTCTTTATTATAAGTGTGCTGCATCAAAAGCAAGAAGGAAAATTACAGATACAGCACAATAGAACACAATAATAAATATAGTAAAACAAGAAACAGATTATCAAAAAATGGCATGAGTGTAGAGAATGTTAAAATGGAAAGGTAATACATCAGAACTTTTGTAATAATAATTAAATTAAATTAAGTCAATTAGATTAAATGGAGAAGAAGATAAGCAAAACAAACAAGGTACTAAATCAGAGAATGCATACAACACATAGTCAACGGCGAGAAGAGGTGTGAAAAGGGAAAAAGATATATAGATTTATATTAAATGTAATTAATATCTAACAATATGGATAGTAACACAGTTATTATAGAATGTGATATAAGGAAACAATAATTGTTACCACAATTAACAAAAATTAAATACCCACTAAGATCTCCTCTGCCTTCTTTTTGTCTCTGTGCATAAAACACAATAATGTGTATACTGTATGCTATGACAAATCAGTTTGAAACACTGCAACCTTTCTTCCAATTCAAAAGACTAATATGACATAACCTCCTATTAAATATTTTAAGAATCTCTACAAGAAGCCAATTTTTCTTCACTTATCTCACAGATAAAGGTTGTTCCAAACTGCCTCACCACAGCAACAAGCATTACATCCTTTATTAAGTACCAACAAATAAGACATAGGCCTATAAGCATGATTTTCAAATGTTGCCAGCATTCAGTAGTACAGATTACCAATAATCCATTATCACCTACATTCTCACATCTTATTAACAGACTCTAGATGTACTTACGGCTATAGCTGTTATAAGCTGAGGTATTGCTGCAAGCCTGTTATTTGCTAATATTAGATGGGTCAGTCTATCACCCATTGTTTTTGTGAGATGGCTTATTGAAAGTAGTGATATAGCACTCCGTGTGTGGTTGGTTTCAGGCTAAGACAAGGAAATAACATTCCATTAACAGTCTATATGCAGAATGTTTATAGATGTAGAACTGAAATAAATTTCAATTCATATGTCTTAATATACAAACATACACACATCTAAAATACTGTCTCCTTCACTTCACATTTGGGAGGTCAATAATGACCTTGACCAAATTATCAGCAATGACAGTCAAATCTTAGTAGCTCAGTATTATATAATTCAAAATACCAATTAAAAACTATGAGTGATATCATTCTAAATCTATAAGGTTTACATGTTTTGCAGTGTTCTCAAAAACATGCATCTTTGTATTCATATTTCAAAGCCTACAAATGAATTCATGATTAGCTCCAGAGATATTATAATCAAGACATTTTGCTTTAAGAAGCATTAGCTTGTATTTGCGGACCACTGGCATGCTACTCAGTTACAAATATGATGGTATGGAAAGAAAAAGTAAAAAGTATCCTGTTCATCATGTATGTATATTTTGTATGATCTGAAGATTTCACAGCGACTAAGTATAATGAATTCTTCTCAGGCTACCAGCCACAGCAGGTGGTTGAAAGGTGAAAACACCAACATTTCAAGAACCATCTTCGTCCTCGTCCTCGAAGTACTGAAGTACCCTATACCCTGAAGATGAGGAAGATGGATCTTGAAACACTGGTATTGTCACCTTTCAACCACCTGACACAACTAGTAATCTGAGAAGAATTCAATTTGTATATTCATCTTATAAACATATATTTATAATATTGGTACATGTATGCAGAAAGTTCCTTCTAATTTCCTTAAGTTTGTGCCCACAGGTCCCATATCAACAAATGGAGTATCCTTTTAGAAAGACTATGTATTAACCATCAATCCAAAAGCCGTGCTGTCTTGATTAGAATCTGCAGTTATGAATGTGGTAAAATTATCAACAATGCTAGCAATTTTTGGCTCAATTCAAAGCATATAAACTCTTTTCTCCAGATTTTTGAAGGGGTTGGCAATTTCTTCCCCAAAAACTACACATAATTTAAAAGCTCTTTTTGAAACAGGACATCAGTATAAACTGGATACTGTAAAACCCACATTTTAGTTAGACAATATCTCCAAAACCACAGAATATCTTCCTGATTTGTAATGATTCAGCAACAATGAATGTGAGTATATTTTAAAACAAAGTAACTCTCAAGTTTGTACCGTTACTGGCTACGTAATATGATGTACTATCTCGTGTAAATAGAATAAGACAACTTTAATGAAAACATTCATGTAATACAAATTTGTCTTCAACAATAAGGTAGGTGCTTGGCTTAAGTAATATTATTCAACAGACTTTCAGTGTGCATTAAAAGGGGCTAGTGAAACTGCTAGAAGTAGTAAATATGACAATCCTTTGATGTTCAATGAGAAGAGAATGATCTGCTGAAAAAGGATGTTTTGATTATGTCAATGCTGACAGACCTATAATGTCATGAAATTTGTTCTTAACAGACTTTAATGTAACGATTATAACAAATTTACAAGCCTGGTTTCAGTCATATCTAAAGTATTATTACATTTTTTTCTTTTTGAAGTATCAAACCTTTAAAAAAACTTAAAACATTGCCAAGCTCTAAAAAATAGTCCCCTGAAGCCTGTGATGCTGATTCATGTTGCATGATAAAATGGAAGTGCTCACTTCAGTCAATTCTTCAAATGTTTCCAATATAAATTACATGTTCCAAATTTTTGTTCAGGAAAAACTCAGTGACATAAATCTAATGCTTTTATTTTACTCTAAATAATTATGACTGGTTCTGTTACTAGCGCACATCCCAAAAAAAGCTTTTAAAAGATAAAATTAACCACAAATAACTATGGCACAGGAATGCTTACCATGACTTACAACTTTTTCAATACAGAATGACACAGCTTAAGTGAAGGACTCTTAAGAAATCTAGGGTGAATTCAGTTCTGAGAAAAACAAATAAAGATGCTTCCCATCATGGTTGACTGTCTCTTTCACAGAAATGTCATTAATTTCATGGCTTATAAATGCCAGACTGTATGGAGGGGTGATTCCACAGCTTAGATATTATTTTCAAAATTACTAAAGTTCAAAAGACATCACTTGACATGCTCTAACTTGCAATTTTCTCCTCAAGGGCCAATATTAATCTATCTCACCCACAGCTCCACAATTCACTGTTACCCATGGGTGTACCAAAATTAAACAGAACACTAATAATATTTACACGCATTTTTATGTATCACTGTTAAATATCATCTTACTATTGGTATTCTTGCAGTTTTATAAGTGTTTAATAGATTTTAATTTCTCAGTATTATTGTATTACAATGATTCAAAGCAAGTACATGAATGTGAACTGTTTAAATATTTACTGAACGAGTCAGAGTCCTAAGATACACTAACCAAACAACTTTTCTTGTAATATTTAACAAATTATTAAGTACCAAAGAAAAATTACAAGGGAAGTTCTTACATTGATGCTTGAGAGATCAAGTCGTGAGAGAAGTGGGCATTTAGCAATGAGAAACTTCAGATGTTCTGAATTTAGCCCTTTCCAACCTGTCATGTTGAGTCCTCGGAGATCTTGGCAACACTTGGAAATAACATCCAACACCGGTTCTATAGGTGTAAACTTCCAGCCACCTGTCACAATATCACACATTTATTTACTTCAAACAAATGCCAGTGCAATGACATATAAATGAAGATTCTAGCCAAATAATAATTCATTTCACATAATATTTAATGATGCTATATATACTTCTGAGGTTATACACACCACACTATGTACTTCATATGAAACAAATAGTACACTGGGAGTTATTTAGGAATTATGTGGTTTTATCTTATTTTAAAGTTACAGCAATTACCTATACATTATATTTGTTTCTTACAACAGTACCTTCCTTAATCATTCATATACAGAAATTACCCTAATTGAATGTTATAAAACTTAAATTAGGATGACTAGATTTCTCATTCCATGCACTAATGTCACAGAGATTTTTAAGAAGAGAGATAACAGACATAAACAAAATTTTCTGTAGAGCAGAACAAAACAAATTACCAAGAGAAATAATACAAAATACAATAAATAATATTTGTCTTACACACAGACTAAAAAATAGTCCCCTGAAGCCTGTGATGCTGATTCATGTTGCATGATAAAATGGAAGTGCTCACTTCAGTCAATTCTTCAAATGTTTCCAATATAAATTACATGTTCCAAATTTTTGTTCAGGAAAAACTCAGTGACATAAATCTAATGCTTTTATTTTACTCTAAATAATTATGACTGGTTCTGTTACTAGCGCACATCCCAAAAAAAGCTTTTAAAAGATAAAATTAACCACAAATAACTATGGCACAGGAATGCTTACCATGACTTACAACTTTTTCAATACAGAATGACACAGCTTAAGTGAAGGACTCTTAAGAAATCTAGGGTGAATTCAGTTCTGAGAAAAACAAATAAAGATGCTTCCCATCATGGTTGACTGTCTCTTTCACAGAAATGTCATTAATTTCATGGCTTATAAATGCCAGACTGTATGGAGGGGTGATTCCACAGCTTAGATATTATTTTCAAAATTACTAAAGTTCAAAAGACATCACTTGACATGCTCTAACTTGCAATTTTCTCCTCAAGGGCCAATATTAATCTATCTCACCCACAGCTCCACAATTCACTGTTACCCATGGGTGTACCAAAATTAAACAGAACACTAATAATATTTACACGCATTTTTATGTATCACTGTTAAATATCATCTTACTATTGGTATTCTTGCAGTTTTATAAGTGTTTAATAGATTTTAATTTCTCAGTATTATTGTATTACAATGATTCAAAGCAAGTACATGAATGTGAACTGTTTAAATATTTACTGAACGAGTCAGAGTCCTAAGATACACTAACCAAACAACTTTTCTTGTAATATTTAACAAATTATTAAGTACCAAAGAAAAATTACAAGGGAAGTTCTTACATTGATGCTTGAGAGATCAAGTCGTGAGAGAAGTGGGCATTTAGCAATGAGAAACTTCAGATGTTCTGAATTTAGCCCTTTCCAACCTGTCATGTTGAGTCCTCGGAGATCTTGGCAACACTTGGAAATAACATCCAACACCGGTTCTATAGGTGTAAACTTCCAGCCACCTGTCACAATATCACACATTTATTTACTTCAAACAAATGCCAGTGCAATGACATATAAATGAAGATTCTAGCCAAATAATAATTCATTTCACATAATATTTAATGATGCTATATATACTTCTGAGGTTATACACACCACACTATGTACTTCATATGAAACAAATAGTACACTGGGAGTTATTTAGGAATTATGTGGTTTTATCTTATTTTAAAGTTACAGCAATTACCTATACATTATATTTGTTTCTTACAACAGTACCTTCCTTAATCATTCATATACAGAAATTACCCTAATTGAATGTTATAAAACTTAAATTAGGATGACTAGATTTCTCATTCCATGCACTAATGTCACAGAGATTTTTAAGAAGAGAGATAACAGACATAAACAAAATTTTCTGTAGAGCAGAACAAAACAAATTACCAAGAGAAATAATACAAAATACAATAAATAATATTTGTCTTACACACAGAATAGATATAACTGTCTTTGGGTATTTATGTATGTTTGCTTCTTGTTCAAGAAGGGATCAGCCAATTTTCTGCAAACTTAGCATGTTTACACCTTGAATCTAGGACACAACCTGATTCAGCCACAGTTCCCTGCAGTAACAATTATTATTTTAAATAAACAAATGTACCAAGTCTCAACATTCAATTACATATATGTATCATCAATACCATAGATACTGGCAAATTTTCATATATTGAAATCTAGTGTGAATATAATGCATCTAGCAATTTTCAGTCTTCTTTCATTTTTTAATAAAATATAGTAGGCTTATGAGATCACTGTACTGTCTGTGTGTGTCAGTTTCACTTTTAAAGCAGCCAACTGACTTTAATGACATTTGGTATGAAAGTTATGCCATTGGGAGATCATCCAAACTTTCCTTCTTCTTCTCCCTACGTTGTTTCCATGTCCTACAAATCATCTAACAAGACAATCTCTCCACCTATCTCTGTCTTCCCAAAGCTTTCCTCCTTAATTTTATTATCTATTTTCTTCGATGTGACAACTTCCCTAACCTGCTGTTCCTGTCTTAAACACAGACTTCCTCCTTGGTGTCTTCATTTTAGTTTTGTGTTGAACTTCTTTAAGATTCACTCTTCCTTCATTGTTAAAACAAGCCCACATACCATCTTGTTCAATTATTAATTTATCTTTAAATTCTACTATTTATCAAATTTAAAATTCTCGCTCATTTGGTTTCTCCTTCTACAACTCTTAAAATCATTGAAGATAGCTTCTACTGGGTTGTAGTGCCATGTAGTCTGGTAAGTTTAACATTGTTTCAGAGGTTCTTGCTGACTCCACCAACATTCGGGCAGCAAGGACCTCTGAAATACTAGTAAACTTCTACCAGACTATAGATGACAACCACCTTTGTACTCAAATCCTACATAAAAATCCTAATTCATTCTACCATTAATCTACTAATATCTCGTCCATGTTTCCTCCCCATACAATGATATGGACATTTAGTAACTATACATAAACAACCCAGAAGACGGAAATCTTTATAAATAATTCTTTTCATTCTTACACACTTCCCATTTCCAGAGCATAACCCTAAATACCTGTTAAAATCATAATGCATGTTTTATTCTTTTTGTAATTTCTTCTTTAAGACTTTCACTTACCATTTACCACTTTCTTTATTTCATGATTATTACATTTTATCTTTCCGTCTCCTGTCTTTCGATTTAGTTTTGTAACCCTACATCTTTAAACTGATATTAAATCCAAAATTTAATGTAAAATCCCTCTAAAATTCCTTTTTAAAAATGCTTTCATTTTGTTCCCATATAATTATGTTATCTGCAAATATCACAGCTTTGGTCCTCCACCAACTTGTCCGTCTGTTACTCTTCTTACTCTCTCATCCATTACCATGATAAACAGCAAAGTGGATAAAACGTTTTCTTAACCCCTCTAAATATCTGAAAACTTTCAGATTTTTCCCCATCTATGAACATGCTATTTTCACATCTGTCCTGTATTCTCTTCATTCACTATGGAAAACTTTATTCACTGTAATACTTTCCATATTTCTTGTCTGTTTATATTATCATATGCCCTTCTAATATAAATAAAAGCCAAATATGTACTTTTTTCAAACTTTCACCTGTTGTAGCTACACCTGCTAAAACCATTCTATCTATTTGACAAACTGTACACATATTACAACTCGAGAAGAGCTGAAGAGATTTTCATTAAATTTTATATTGAGAAAGTTTTACCAATATTTGTCAACAGACTCCAGTTTTGGTTAATAATGGTCAACAACAATGGGCATTTTACATGAAGGCTTACATGTATTTTTGTGCACAAAAGTGATGGGTACAGAATTCCTCTGCCATTCACAAAGGTCAGATAAAATTCTTGTTACCATGCTAGAACTGTTATACTGTGTGTACATTTCCCAACGTATTCTATTAAAATTCTTATTAAAATGTGAAAATCTGTTCAGCAATTATCAAGTTGCAGACAAAGATATATTAATAGGCGGTCTGCAGAGATGCATACTTGCTTAATAACAACAACGTGCAACACATTCAGAAATCCAAGCAATAAAAAAACCAATCCCATAATTCAATCCTATGATTCAAACCTATCACCATCTAGAAACAAGCCCAGAATGTTAACCCATGAGCTAAATTGCATGTTACAATACTATTTTATTATAAACTTATAGTTACAACTAGTAAGCTATGCAGTAGGAAAGTGTAATTCTGCCCAACTCCTTGTATCTCCATCAGTTATAGGAACACAGTAGCTACACAAATTTGTGAGACAAAAATAATACTATCATAACAAAATCTTATGTCTTGAAATTAATTATAGTGACAGACAGGTTTAAAAAATATACAGTTTTTATTAGCTTTATTTTAAAGAAATAGAAATAAACATGTGTCACCAACACAAAACATTTCCACATGAAAGATACGGATGTCTATCATTGTAAACTGAGATGTAAAGTTGGTATTGAAACTCAAATGTCTAATTGTTTGAAAACCTAAAATCAACAATGCCAATGGTAAATACTTTTAAAAAGTTAATAATTATACAAACTCTAATGCAGTCTCATGCAAAGTGAACTCACTCTTCCAGGTCAGCTGGAGTCTTAGTGCATTCAGTCTTTGTCCTTCATGCAACTTCATGTATTTTACCCTGTATGACACTGACCATAATAAAAATTATGATAAATTAATTGATACTTTGATTTAATGATGCTTTCTGAAATGCATTAGTTACACAGTGCAAATGGAAGGATGACTAGGAATGATGAATAAAAAAATATTTAGAAGAAAGCAATCATAACCTATTTTAAGGTTAAGTGAGGAAAAGTAACAGAATGAAACCACATCCAATAGATATATGGCAATATAATCAGAGTAACTTAAAGTATTCTGAAATTTCTGTTGTAGTTCTAGATTTGGTGCAAATAAAATATTAAACACAGCAGTAAACTTACCAACATTTAATTCCTGAACTCTGGCAAGCCTATTCTCACACAGCCATCTTACAGTTTCACTAGTCTTATATTTGTCCTTGACACAAGGGCTAGCTAGATCAATGTTATACCATAAAGAAGGTGAGAGTGCCACATCCCGCCACAGACTGCAAACTCGACACATCCTGAAATAAACAATTCATTTGTATTGGCTTCGAAGATACTGTATACCTACCTTATCGGCGACTATACACAGTACATTCCAAATGACATTTTAAGAGATATATGGTAATATGATTAACAACAGTGATATATATAAAAATAATGTTACATTTCCAGTACTGAAATATGAGGTTTTCACAGCAGTGAAAATGTTGTGTCTTCTGAGTTTACAGTGTGTAGTCTTGTACACAGATGGCATTACACCTACAGGACTATACAGCAGTAACCCAGGAAATCACAACTGACATCTTCCAATATTAGTTACAAGTTACTTAAGAATATGTTAAACAGAATGTTATCTTCTAAACTGCAAGTCTGAAAATAAAATGGAAGAGAAAAACAAATTACTTCTGCATAATATATGGATACTGTTAAACTCACAACAGGTGCCACGAAAATAGGTTTACAAGATACTTCTAAATCATGAAGAGATAAAAGTTAAGGAAAACAACACTGTTTAATAATACCTCACTATTAAAAAGTTCTTTAATTTACAATACCAGAAACATTATCTCAAAAATATTATCACAAGAAACCCAGTTCACAAAATAACAAAATCACTCAAGTTACACTAGCCACTAAGCACAGGGTGTTCTTGTCGCATGAAACATATTATAAACTGTGTGTCAAATACAAAAAATAAAGGTCTTTCATATATAAGTATGTTCTCAGAAAGAAAGAAAGAAATACACTGAACAGAAATGGATCTCTGGTTTTGTGAAGCTTCAGTATTTGGGGATGAGCCATAACAAATGTTGATGGTTATCCAATGTTTCAACAAACACTGAAGCCTTATAGAGAGCAGATGGTTGGTGGCAAGCTGGATGGGACAAAAGAGATTGGTGGACTATAGGAGCAGACTGCTATCCACACAGTTGTGAAAAGAAAGTGATGTAAAACTTTTCAGGGATTACATGATGAGAAGAGAGAATCCACCACCAGTAAATACAACATAGATGGTACCATTTGGCATCAGCATACCATGCGGTAAGTTACTAAAAAAACTTTGTCAATTTTGCTGTTGTTCTTTCTTGCTGCATTGGGTAAATGTATAAATCTAAGGTGGCAGCATTCATTTATGTAAAGCATACATACACATTCTTCCTTTGCATAATGCATACATCCAAAAAATCTATTGCTTTTAAATAAGAATTATTTTGATCTTCTTAAGCTAAATTAAAGTTGAAGACAAAGATACTAAATTAACAGGGGCACAGTGTTCATGTTAGCCTGACTAACATGATTAACATGAATGCACCACCCTTGTAAATTTGTGATTTCTTATGTCACTGCTAAGGCTGAAAGGGTTAAAGATGATCAGTGGAAACTTAAATCTAAAATGATGTAAAATTTTAACCTGATACAGCATGAAGTTAAGGCATATAATTTGTAGACAGTGACCATAAATTAATTAGGATGTTTTAAAGGCAATTATATATGATGTCAGTATTGATTCACTACATAAATGACGGCAACATTTCTTAGTAAGATGTGGTAACAGTGACACATTCAATGTTTAATTTTTAGGTTCTGTAGAAAACCTCTTTAGAGTAATGTTTTGGTTTTAACGTGAGAGTATATTTTTTAAATAACTTGTGCACTTCCTTAGCCTATTACTTTTGTATTTTATTCAAAATAGAAACCTGACAAAAATATATAAAATGAAACTCTTCTACTAACACAAATTTAGAGCATGTACATCCAATCTTGCATATACAGGTGTGTTGATTTCAAAATCTTCTGGAACAAGATCCATATCTCAAGTCTAACAGCATTAAGATGCCCAAATACCCAGTACAACCATAACACAACTACTTTTTACCTGGTCTACTAAGCCTTCATGGTTTACAGTTTAACGTCTTATTGACACAGATTAAAAATGAGATTTGTTTCTTTGGTGGTTGAAGTTTGGATTGTAATCTTCCAGGTGGTGACACTGTGTATTCATGTAGGTGATAACAAAATTTAAGAGGAACCTGCTGCCTCCCTTTTCTTGGTAAAAGTGACATGAGCTAGGATGATGGTGAGCTTGATATCTATTGTTTTACTTATGGTCTGATCTAGGCATATAGATTTTTGCCACAGTTATAGTGTAATGTACACACATGTGATGACCCAAGTTGATGCTACGTTCTGCCTGAGATGATTTTTCTGATTTTTTTGTGGTTTATAAAACAATTGTCAGTATCTCTGATTATACAGCACCCAATAACAGAACGATTAATGAATGAAGAATCAATAATGATATCAAGGAAGTAATCATGGCCTAATTTAAGGTACTGTTCTTGCATTTTCCTGGATGGGCAGAAAAACCACAAAAACCTCAGTCAGGATAGCTGGAATATGAATCCAGGTCCTTCCAGATATGAAGTATAAGTGTTAAGCACTTGCCCACATTTGATTACAGACATGCCAACAGTTCTCTTTGACATAGGATGCAGAACTGAAACTTGCACCAAACAATACATGTCCACCTTCATCGTGTGAAAAAATCAGCTGTGGCAGAGAACCATGATGTGGGTTAACACAACCATCTATATGACACCAGTACTCTGGCCCCCTCTTAATTACAAAAGAAACCATACACATGGATTAGATCATCAGGGAAACTACAGATATCAATGCTTGCATTTTCTAATAATGGTGCAACATGATGTGTATAATTTTTCCATTGGACTTATCAATCAAGTTTTTAAACTACAATGTCTCAGAAGGTGGTTCTACTTCCCTCTTAAGGTAATCAGTGGGGGCCAAAAGGTCTACTTTCTTAGACTCCCTGGCCAAGCTAGTCTGAAACCTGAACCAAATATCATATACAGGTGTTCAGTACATTCACCATAATTTTTAAAGAAAATTGTGCCTATTGGTCAAATGTTAAAATCATCCTGATGGGTGGGTGGAAAATAATACAAATATTAGGAACCATAAACTGTCTGTCTCTTCAAACAACTCACTTGGTGAAATTCAAACAAAGTAAATCCAACATTTATTCCGTATTTCAAGGTAACTGGTAAGTTGCTGATTCTGACAGTACTTCATGAGCATTCACTATAATATTACATCACCCACGAGTTGCACATGCAAATAGCAACTACTTCCTGCAGCATAGAAGATCATGTGTTGTGTCACCTGGGTGTGCACACACATCCCACTCTTGTGCATATAGTTTCCAAACTCCTTTTGAATGACATGTGGAAAACAAAGCTCCCAGACCCATCTACACGAATCTTGGCAGAAGATAGGACCTACATATGAGTGCTGAAGCAAATCAAATTATTTAGTTTGAGTAGGAAAGTGAGTTGATTGTTAACCAAGCTGGTTGGTGGGACACAAAGAAAAGAAGCAGTGTACAACATGTGTAACCGACTGTCAGAAGAGAATACCAGTGTGAAACCAAGCAACAGTTTGAACAATCAAGATTTGTGATTCATAACTGTGAAGAACTGTTATCAACAGAAGTTATTTATAATGACTGTGGGGAAAAATAAATCAATGTTGTGAAAAAGGAACCCATGAGTCAACTAGTGATTAATGTTTCAATATTACATTTAATATTAGATTTAACCCTTTAAATTACAAATTTCATCAAAATAATATATAATAATCCCATTCCAGCCTGCAAGAAAACATACCTCAATACTGTTACAAACTTCAGTTTCTTATGATGCTTAGGAAAAGATTTGTTGTTTATTCTGAAAACCATATACGTAAAACCCATAAAAGGGATATGTTGGCACCATGTTGAATGACTGAATTAAAGCAGGTAGTATACACAGTTACCTCAACCCTACAAAGCCCAAAGCAACTCTGATACAAAGATATGGAGAGACAGATGGATAGATCTCACAAAAAATATATTTATGCACTTTCGCAGACAAAGTTTTATACAGAGATACAAATAAATAAATAAATATTACACTGAGAAGGTTGAATTGTGTAATTCTGACTGTGTTTGTGGATGGTCAGCTTGCCCATGTACTCTGCTGTTGACAGTGGTCTTGTGGGTTGTGACACTGTGTAGTCATGTACCAGGTTACCAACATTCCTTAAAGATTACACGATGTACAACCCAGAAGACTGCACTCAACATCTTCACCACCATGAGAACTCAAATCCTACATGTACACTTTTCTCTCTCATCTGTTTTACACACAGAGAACTGCAAAGCTGTAATTCTTAAAGATCTGTAATAAAATCATATTAGTAGTAGCTACATAATACATTTGTAGAAACAAATAATCATAAATATTTAAATAAAATTAAATACTGTGCATTGTCACAATAAAATAACTAAAATAAATTAATTACATAAAGCTACTAAAGCACACCTTTTGTGGTGATGCTTGTGGAAGCAAAGCAAAACATGACTTGAAATGAAAATTGGAGAACAAATTCCTGTGACAAGGGTTCCAAAAATATGACTCAAATCTACTAGCCTACTAAGAAAACAGTTTTCCCCACACAGATGGTGAATATTCACTTAACTCAGCCAGATATAATTTAGAATACAGCTTGAAAATGCATAACATAAAAGACAAAAATATTAAAGTAATCAGTCTGTAACACATTTAACCATTTTACTGATAACAGTCTCTTAAAACTGTAGTAATGACAAGATAATATATCATATAAGCAGTGAAGAAATGTTAACTACTTTTCATTCTTAAAACAGCCTAGTTCCAGTAATAAAATAATAAGTTTCTACATGTCATAACAATGAGGCTTCCATTTCAACATGATTTAAGTGAGTCCACATCACAAGAACATCTTCCTGGAAGGATAAACCTACGAAAATTTGACATCCAAGATATGCAAGAAAATTTGTTGGACCATATTATAGTTAGGGGTAGTCTAACTCATGAAAATGTTAACAGTGAGTCAACATTAATAGGGGCAGAGCATAAAGTTATTAATAAAGCTCAATACATCTGGCTGGACTATGTAAGCAGAAATAGTCATTTTCTGCAACTATGGAGAAATGAAATATAGTGTTGTTTTATAATGGACCATATGACATGACACTACTATCTGCAACAAACATCAGACATGGGCTTTCTGGCTACACTCACATATCTAAGCTGAATGCAGGTTAGCGTTCAAGATGGCACGTAAGTATACAATAAGACAACACACATTCATCTATGACAGTTATGGAAAATGCAATTCACCTCACATATGCCATAAAGAATTTCAACAAAAATTTCCTCATGCTGACATGACTGCAAGGTCTACCATTAATTTTTAAGTTAATAAAATCAGAATTATGGGTTCAGTAATGGATAAAGAAAGGGGATGACATCATGTACTGACTGAAGAAAATGATGATAATGGTGCAAGATAGAAATTTTCACCAAGAAAATCACTGACAAAACTTGCCCAGCAAGCAACATTTCAGACTCCTCTGCAAGAACCACCATAAAATTACTGACCTCAGCCATATATAAAATAACACAAATGCACTCATTCACTGAAATGAAGAGATCCACCTACAAAGATAAATTTTAGCAAAACTTTTCATTGAGTGATGAGGCCGTCACAGTGGCTGTGTGGTCTGAGGCGTGGGCCTTGTACCTCTTTGTCACTGGGACCGTGGGTTTGAATACCACTCAAGGCATGGATGTCTGTCTGCGTGTTTCTGTGTTGTGCCATCCTGTGTACAGGTAGAGGTCTTGCAACGGGCTGATAACTCGTCCAAGGAGTCCTACCAACTGTCTGATAGATCAAAGCCAATGAAAGTTGGGACCCACAGATGCTCAAGGCACTGAAAAACGGGTTGCCTAAGTATCCTAAGTGAGTGATGATACACTTAACCCATAATTACTGTTTCTTAATTATGAAGCCTGATTCTGTTTAAAGGGACATGTAAACATGCATAATAACCAATACCGGTCCTCTAAAAACCCAATTGTTCTTCATGAACCAAAAGTTGGTGTTAGGTGTGTAACTAATGCAAAGTAAGTAATAGGCCCTTTTTGTGGACATACTTAACTCAAAAAGGCATATTAATTTGATTTTGAACACATTTTCCCAGAGTTAACACATGAAGAAAGACTATGTGGTTACTTTTAACAACACACAGCAACGACACACACAGCCTGTAACTCCATGACTTTAATAAGAAAGCCAGCTCATTCTCCAGACCTCACATCATGCAATTTTTATTTCTGGGGTCGCTTAAAAAACAAAGTGTACAAAAAATCAAAACACATTGCATAAACTTGAAAAAAAAATCCAGGATGAAGTATCAAGGATCTCACCATCAGAACTGCAATGTGTTCAACTATAGCATGTTTTCACACTGCAATATATGTTTATGATACAATTTTTAACATCTCCTATGAATTGGTAAGTTTGTTTCGATGGTTATTCTGTTTTCTATTATCACATTCACAATGGCCCGATTCAAAAAGGAAGAAGAGCCCAAGATGCCTGAGTCAATTTGGTGTGCAAGGTAGTCCAACAACAACTCTGTTTTTTTACATTATCTAAGCATAAGTGCAAACAATCATAAAAACATATTTTCATGAAACAAAACCTGTTCTGATGTAGGCCTATAACATTAAAATCATATTGTGCAAAAGTATGCCATCCCACCATTCAAATCATATGACATTTAACAAAACAATATAAAAATTACTGAAGTTATATAAAATTAACAATGACTTTAAATCAAAACTGTCTGAAAGCTAACAAATGTCTTGATGATACACTCAGCTGTATACAGAAATATGGCTATTATCGATTTTCGTATGAATACAAGCTAAATGCTATTTAAATTAAAGAAATACAATTTTTCTTGCTGTCCACAAATTTTTCATTTTTTTTTCTTCAGCCATCAACAGAAATATGAACAGCCAATGTGGCCATGGTACTGAATAGGATGCCAACCTGTTCTAGATGATGGCTAAAGGATATCAACTACATATTATGCACCTAGCTTCAAACAGGATTGGAAAGGTGTACTCTTTGGAACGTTCTTCATGCCACATCACATAAATCACAATGTGATCTGATGCCATTGTTACATCTTAGGCCATTCTTACACTGTAATATAAGGTATTTGTTGTGCCTTAGGTCATTTTTGTATTTATGTGGTCTGAGGCAATTGTTCTGCATTGTCTTCCAGAAATGACCACTTCCCACTGCTTTGCATCAACGTGTTCCAACAATTGAACTTCTGGTCCAATTGTTGAATAATGACAACATCTGATCACGCAGGTTCCCTACCTCTAACTAACTAGATGGCTTACCGAACCCGAAGGTTCATCACCGAATTAACCAAAGCCCGCCACCAGACCCTGTCCTGGGCCAACAAAATCCAGTCTCCTTCAACTCCTATCTCCCATAGATCCCGCCTGAGATTATCCTCCCATCTACGTCTAGGTCTCCCCAGGCTTCCCAACCAATATATATCCTCCTCAACACCCTATTCTCAAACACCTGCAATCTGCATTCCTCTCTCTGAGTGAGAGACAATGTTTCGCACCCATACAAAACAACAGGCAAAATTATTGTTTTGTATACTTTAATTTTCAGGTTCTTAGAAATCAGACAGGAAGACAAAATATTTTGAACTGAGAAGTAGCAAGCAGTTCCGGAATTTAGTCTCCTCCTAACTTCCTCATGAGTATCATTTTGATTTGTTATTGTTGTTCCCAAATATTTTAACTTTGTAACACTTTCAAAGGATTTATTAGCCACCCTAAGAGAATTCTGTCTGCCTGTATTCTGATGACGAGATACTAACATGTACTTAGTTTTTTCTGAATTTACTTCTAGCCCCACCTGTCTACTAGCCTCTAGTAAAACTTCTGTGTTCGTCTTTATTGTATTTATATCGTCACCCAATAAATTAACATCAGCATATGCCAATAGCTGATGTGTCCCATTCAATTGCAAGCCCTCCTGCGTATCTTGGACTTTCCTGATGGCATATTCTAGCGCAAAGTTAAAGAGCAAGGGAGACAAAGCATCTCCGTGTTTTAGACCGTTCTTGATGAAGAATGTCTCAGATACATATTTACCTACTCGAATTTTGCTAACAGGTTTCAATTAAGCACATTTTTATTAGACTCACTAACTTCTTTGGTATACCAAATTCAATAATAATATTATATAGCACTTCTCTCTTCACAGAGTCATAGGCTTTTTTGAAATCTATAAATAATTGATGAAAGGCCCCACTGAACTCCCATTTTTTCTCTAGTATCTGATGAATGCAAAAGATCTGATCAATCGTTGATCTGTTTCATCTGAACCCATACTGATGATCCCCAATAATTTCATTCGCATATGGGGTTAATCTTGCCAAAAGAATGTTTGACAAAATTTTGTATGAGGTTGATAGCAGAGAAATTCCTCGGTAATTACCATACTGTCTTGACCCCCTTCTTATGAACAGGAATAATTATGGATTCCTTCCATTGTTGTGGCATCTCTTTCTTATCCCAAATTAAATGAATAAGCTTATGAATCCTAATACGCAACTCTTTGCCACCTGCTTTAATTAATTCTGCTGGAATCTGATTAATACCTGGAGATTTATAACTTTTCAGTTCCCTACCTCTACAGGAAAAATCTGACAGACACATGGATAGGCCAAAAAGAATTCTTCCCTCATGCTAGAACATGAAGAACACCTAAGAATAACATGATCGTTGGTATGAAGAGCTAGGTTGCTTTAAATGGCATACTGTTTTACAAAATATGCTGTAACATAGTGGTCACATTTCATTATCTCATACACGTAAGCTGAAACTGTGGGTTTGCATGTACATATGACACCAAACTTATCATGCTCATTCCTTGAAACCAGGAAAAGAACAGAGAAAGGTCAAAACGCTGGAAAAAGAGTTCAATTCCTGGTGAAGTTGGTTGCTATAGCTCAGAAACTATTCACAATAGAAGAACAGTGCCAAGACCAAAGATATTTATCGCAAAGAGGAAATTATAGAAACAAAGGCCACAACCCAGAAGCACTGTTTCCAGTGGAAATGGTTTTCTTAGCTCAGAAACTAAGCATGATAGAAGAACAGTGCGAAGACCAAAGTTGTTTCTTTTGAAGAGATCACAGAAACAAAGGCCACAACCTGCCCTCGGTTCAATTCATGATGAAAATAGTTTCTGTAGCTAGGTAACTAAGCACAATAGAAAAAAACAGCATAGGCTAAATTTGTTTAGTTCAGCAAGGAGATTACAGGAACTAGGTCACAACCCCAAAAGAATATCCTGGGTTCTGTTCTGGTGCAGAGAGTTTCAGTACCTCAAAAAGTAGGCATGACAGAACAGCATAAATAACAAAACTGTTTGTGCTGTGAAGAAATCACAGGAACTAAGATCACAAATCCAAAAACTGTCCTGGGTTTGAGTCTCAGTCAATATGCTGGATTTTAATTAAATTCTTTACCATTAATGTGCTGCATCAACAGACTGATAATGAAGATGGCTGTCTTCTGGGATGTAGCACTAAGTAGTCTGGTAGAAGTTCACCAACATTTCAGAGGTCCTTATTGCCTCCATCACTATCAGACTGCACGGCACTACAACCCAGAAGACAGCCATCTTCAGACTCACTGCAGTGATAACCTCAAATCCTAGCCAGAATATAACATCTATGATATTCAACAATATTTATCAAATGATGAAGACTATGGTAAGCTTTGTTAAATTTCCCTCCAATAACACAGCGAGAACTCTCCTAGTTCATTTTTCTACAAACATATTTTGTAAATATTTTTCTCTGAAAGCACTGGAATATTTACATATGTGACATGTCCTATTTGATATAAATAAAAGTGTAAAGAAAATATAACCTGATAAGGAAAGGTAGACATCCTTCCTCTTGGGTGACCATGTAGAAAATATCATAAAGTGTTTGTCTTGGCAGTCGGAGACCCCAGTCACTCTGCTCACCAAATTCATCAGCTTCTGACTCTTCACTTACACTCTGATCCATCCAATTCACCTGTTTATTGGAACCAATGTCAGATTCTTCATCCTCAGTATTTGAACCTTTCTTGCTCTTTCGTTTCTTCCCACGTTCTCTTCGCCTATGGGGCTGAATCACAGTAGGTGATGCTGAAGATTTCTTAATTCGAATCTTAATGCCATTTTGGTCAGGTGATATCTGACTCTGATACGTAACTGGTTGTTTCTTCTTCTTGGTTGGACCTGGAGGACGTCCCCTTGCCGTGATCGTTTCAGCCCCTTTACGTTTGCGGCCTCGTGAGGAAGTGTACCTTCCTTTTGGCGTATTGAAACATTCAGAAGAATGTGCACTTTCTACTTCTCCATCCTGACTTTCATTTTCACTTTTGGGTGACTCCTGCACTTTGGGTTCATGTGACACAACTGTCAACTTCTTACTAACATTTAGCTGATTATCTGCACACTTTGTACTTGTCTTCTCATTGTGAATGTCTTTTTGTACTACCGAAGAATTATCTGTCTTTATCTCTTCTTTGAATTCATTACTTTCACTGTCCCTTAATTTATCTTCTTTCAGAGATTCACTGAGATTTGTTAGGTCCTCATTGTTAGGGGATAAAAATTGGTAACTCCCATTCCTTTCATCTTCAGAATTTGTGGTTTCTGTAATGCTTGAACAGGAGTTCTGAGAGGTAATTAATTCTGCACAATTTAAAGGAATTTCACTTTCCTGTGTCCTTTCACTAGAGGAATTAACAGAATCTGTACAGTTTTCAAAAAGATCTTCCCTTCTAACTAACTAGATGGCTTACCGAACCCGAAGGTTCATCACCGAATTAACCAAAGCCCGCCACCAGACCCTGTCCTGGGCCAACAAAATCCAGTCTCCTTCAACTCCTATCTCCCATAGATCCCGCCTGAGATTATCCTCCCATCTACGTCTAGGTCTCCCCAGGCTTCCCAACCAATATCCGATGAACACCACTTGCCCCATCCATGCGCGCTACATGTCCCGCCCATCTCATTCTTCTCGACAATCACCCTAACAATATTGGGGGAGGAGTACAGATTTTTAAGCTCATCATTATACAGTTTTCTCCATGTCCCATCGTCTTCTCTCCTAGGCCCAAATATCCTCCTCAACACCCTATTCTCAAACACCTGCAATCTGCATTCCTCTCTCTGAGTGAGAGACAATGTTTCGCACCCATACAAAACAACAGGCAAAATTATTGTTTTGTATACTTTAATTTTCAGGTTCTTAGAAATCAGACAGGAAGACAAAATATTTTGAACTGAGAAGTAGCAAGCAGTTCCGGAATTTAGTCTCCTCCTAACTTCCTCATGAGTATCATTTTGATTTGTTATTGTTGTTCCCAAATATTTTAACTTTGTAACACTTTCAAAGGATTTATTAGCCACCCTAAGAGAATTCTGTCTGCCTGTATTCTGATGACGAGATACTAACATGTACTTAGTTTTTTCTGAATTTACTTCTAGCCCCACCTGTCTACTAGCCTCTAGTAAAACTTCTGTGTTCGTCTTTATTGTATTTATATCGTCACCCAATAAATTAACATCAGCATATGCCAATAGCTGATGTGTCCCATTCAATTGCAAGCCCTCCTGCGTATCTTGGACTTTCCTGATGGCATATTCTAGCGCAAAGTTAAAGAGCAAGGGAGACAAAGCATCTCCGTGTTTTAGACCGTTCTTGATGAAGAATGTCTCAGATACATATTTACCTACTCGAATTTTGCTAACAGGTTTCAATTAAGCACATTTTTATTAGACTCACTAACTTCTTTGGTATACCAAATTCAATAATAATATTATATAGCACTTCTCTCTTCACAGAGTCATAGGCTTTTTTGAAATCTATAAATAATTGATGAAAGGCCCCACTGAACTCCCATTTTTTCTCTAGTATCTGATGAATGCAAAAGATCTGATCAATCGTTGATCTGTTTCATCTGAACCCATACTGATGATCCCCAATAATTTCATTCGCATATGGGGTTAATCTTGCCAAAAGAATGTTTGACAAAATTTTGTATGAGGTTGATAGCAGAGAAATTCCTCGGTAATTACCATACTGTCTTGACCCCCTTCTTATGAACAGGAATAATTATGGATTCCTTCCATTGTTGTGGCATCTCTTTCTTATCCCAAATTAAATGAATAAGCTTATGAATCCTAATACGCAACTCTTTGCCACCTGCTTTAATTAATTCTGCTGGAATCTGATTAATACCTGGAGATTTATAACTTTTCAGTTCCCTACCTCTACAGGAAAAATCTGACAGACACATGGATAGGCCAAAAAGAATTCTTCCCTCATGCTAGAACATGAAGAACACCTAAGAATAACATGATCGTTGGTATGAAGAGCTAGGTTGCTTTAAATGGCATACTGTTTTACAAAATATGCTGTAACATAGTGGTCACATTTCATTATCTCATACACGTAAGCTGAAACTGTGGGTTTGCATGTACATATGACACCAAACTTATCATGCTCATTCCTTGAAACCAGGAAAAGAACAGAGAAAGGTCAAAACGCTGGAAAAAGAGTTCAATTCCTGGTGAAGTTGGTTGCTATAGCTCAGAAACTATTCACAATAGAAGAACAGTGCCAAGACCAAAGATATTTATCGCAAAGAGGAAATTATAGAAACAAAGGCCACAACCCAGAAGCACTGTTTCCAGTGGAAATGGTTTTCTTAGCTCAGAAACTAAGCATGATAGAAGAACAGTGCGAAGACCAAAGTTGTTTCTTTTGAAGAGATCACAGAAACAAAGGCCACAACCTGCCCTCGGTTCAATTCATGATGAAAATAGTTTCTGTAGCTAGGTAACTAAGCACAATAGAAAAAAACAGCATAGGCTAAATTTGTTTAGTTCAGCAAGGAGATTACAGGAACTAGGTCACAACCCCAAAAGAATATCCTGGGTTCTGTTCTGGTGCAGAGAGTTTCAGTACCTCAAAAAGTAGGCATGACAGAACAGCATAAATAACAAAACTGTTTGTGCTGTGAAGAAATCACAGGAACTAAGATCACAAATCCAAAAACTGTCCTGGGTTTGAGTCTCAGTCAATATGCTGGATTTTAATTAAATTCTTTACCATTAATGTGCTGCATCAACAGACTGATAATGAAGATGGCTGTCTTCTGGGATGTAGCACTAAGTAGTCTGGTAGAAGTTCACCAACATTTCAGAGGTCCTTATTGCCTCCATCACTATCAGACTGCACGGCACTACAACCCAGAAGACAGCCATCTTCAGACTCACTGCAGTGATAACCTCAAATCCTAGCCAGAATATAACATCTATGATATTCAACAATATTTATCAAATGATGAAGACTATGGTAAGCTTTGTTAAATTTCCCTCCAATAACACAGCGAGAACTCTCCTAGTTCATTTTTCTACAAACATATTTTGTAAATATTTTTCTCTGAAAGCACTGGAATATTTACATATGTGACATGTCCTATTTGATATAAATAAAAGTGTAAAGAAAATATAACCTGATAAGGAAAGGTAGACATCCTTCCTCTTGGGTGACCATGTAGAAAATATCATAAAGTGTTTGTCTTGGCAGTCGGAGACCCCAGTCACTCTGCTCACCAAATTCATCAGCTTCTGACTCTTCACTTACACTCTGATCCATCCAATTCACCTGTTTATTGGAACCAATGTCAGATTCTTCATCCTCAGTATTTGAACCTTTCTTGCTCTTTCGTTTCTTCCCACGTTCTCTTCGCCTATGGGGCTGAATCACAGTAGGTGATGCTGAAGATTTCTTAATTCGAATCTTAATGCCATTTTGGTCAGGTGATATCTGACTCTGATACGTAACTGGTTGTTTCTTCTTCTTGGTTGGACCTGGAGGACGTCCCCTTGCCGTGATCGTTTCAGCCCCTTTACGTTTGCGGCCTCGTGAGGAAGTGTACCTTCCTTTTGGCGTATTGAAACATTCAGAAGAATGTGCACTTTCTACTTCTCCATCCTGACTTTCATTTTCACTTTTGGGTGACTCCTGCACTTTGGGTTCATGTGACACAACTGTCAACTTCTTACTAACATTTAGCTGATTATCTGCACACTTTGTACTTGTCTTCTCATTGTGAATGTCTTTTTGTACTACCGAAGAATTATCTGTCTTTATCTCTTCTTTGAATTCATTACTTTCACTGTCCCTTAATTTATCTTCTTTCAGAGATTCACTGAGATTTGTTAGGTCCTCATTGTTAGGGGATAAAAATTGGTAACTCCCATTCCTTTCATCTTCAGAATTTGTGGTTTCTGTAATGCTTGAACAGGAGTTCTGAGAGGTAATTAATTCTGCACAATTTAAAGGAATTTCACTTTCCTGTGTCCTTTCACTAGAGGAATTAACAGAATCTGTACAGTTTTCAAAAAGATCTTCCCTTCCCAAATCATTCTGGGGAGTCATCTGAGTTTCTTGACCACTGAGTACATTACCTGCCCTATCACTGTCTGTACTACAAGGCATGTTTGTAATAGCATCTCTTGGTTCAAGCATAAAATCTTTCAAACACTCATGTTCTGGATCAGATGTATTTACTGGTCCATCACCAAACATATCTTCATGATTATCAAAGCATTCCCCATTTCTGTCATCCATAATGAAACAGTAGTATTGCTATTGTAACTTTCAACTACATATTCACTACCTATAACTTGATATTGAAATTCATTCTTATGCTGAAAGTCACTTTATGCTGGAATCTGAAAGTGAAAGAAAAACTGAATGTGAAAATGTTACAAGGCTGTAAAAATAAAGTAAATTAAGTCATTCTTATATTGGCATGCATAAGACAATTCAACACATTCAAAAGCACAGACACTCATACATGTATAACAAATATCGAAAAGCTATATCAGAATAGAACAGAATTTATTTACATTCCATAGATCCTTCATAAACTCAAGCTAAGAAAGTAGAACATGTCATAGCACAAATACAACACTTGTTTCTTATACAAATATAAATTACATAGTTGTAACAGTAATTTACAAACTACAGTATTACTGCAGAAATAATTACACAATAAAGTATACCCACTATTGCTTACATATATTTTATTCAAATGTTTGCATTCATGTGAAGCTCCATTGTTGCTTGAATGAAATCAACTTATCCTCAGACAAATATTCGCACCATTCAGTGGGAGTCCTTGAAAACCTGACTGTCCCTCGAAGAGTACACAGAACACATTCCCGGCTTTGGCCTATGAAGGCTCTATGGAATTAGCTAGTATACTGCAAGATATTAACTCAAGTCATTAAAAAGGCTCAACGTGTGCATTACAATAAACAGATATTAGAGTCAGATAACAACGTAAAAGCAGTCTGGAAAATTGTGAAAAAGGAGACAGGTAAATATTCTACAGAAGAAGTGGCCCCATCAATAAAGATAGAGGATAATATAATAAAGAATCTTAAATTCACAGCAAATTCTTTCAACACTTACATCTTAACAATTATAAAAAGAATTAACAATGACACACCAACCATAACAACAGAAGATGCAATAAAGTGCCTTGCTGAAGCAATCCCTAAAACCTTTCCAAATTTAAGTCTTATGCCCACAACAACAAATTAATTTAAAAGTATAAAAAATTCTCTCAATTTAAAAAAATCATGTGGTTATGATGAAATATCGACAATGCTACTAAAAAGCTGCGATGGTAGTAGGAGCTTTCCCATGATGACTCAAATATTCAAAAGTTAAACCTCTATATAAAAAGGTGAAAAATCTTACATGTCTAATTACAGAACAATTTCATTACTAACCGCATTCTGTAAAATATTTGAAAAAGTTATGTATAAGAGAGTAAGTGATTTCTTAAACTCAAAAGTCTTTGCAGGTGAACAATTTGGATTTAGGAAAAATCTCTCAACTGATAAAGCCCTGTTCAGTTTTACAGATGAAATTTTAAGTGCACTAAATAGTAAAGTGTGTGTTGGTGGAATATCTTGTGATTTTGCTAAAACATTTGATTGTGTATATCATGAATTATTACCATTAAAACTAAATTTTTATGGAATTTGAAATATAGCTGACAAGTGGTTTAAATCGTACCTTCATGACAGAAAGCAACAAGTAGAAATAAAATCATCAAATTTAAATGAAAGCACCTACTCAAATTTGGGTACTGTAAAACATGCAGTGCCTCAAGGTTCAATACTTGGTCCTCTGCTTTTTCTCGTATATATCAATGATCTGCCCCCAACCATCAACTCTCATTCTAAACCAATACTCTTTGCTGATGATATTAGTTTTATTATTTCACATCCAGAAATTGATTGTTTTCAAAATTGCATAAATGATATTTTTGCTAGATTGAACAAATGGATTAAAGTCAATAGACACATTAAATTTTAACAAAACAAATTTTATGAAATTTTGTACTAACAACAGAACTTGTGTAAACCTAAATATACGGTATGATGATAAAATAATCGAGGAAATAGAAACAATTACATTTCTTGGCCTATAAAATTGACAATAGATTAAACTGGAAAACACATATTCAATACATTATCCCTAAACTAAGCTCGGCATGTTTTGTTATGAGGACAGTTGCAGCAGTCACAAAAACAAAAAATTTAAAATTAGTTTATTTTGCTTACTTCCATTCCTTCATTCATATGGAATCATTTTCTGGGGAAATTCAATGGACAGCAAAAAAGTATTTTACACTCAAAAGAGGATCATTAGAACAATGGCAGGCACTAAAAGGAGACTCTTGTAGGGAATTATTTAAGACGTTTAATATTCTTTCACTATCCAGTGAATTCTTGCTCTCACTATTATCATATGTAGCGGATAGTATGGAAAAATTTCAAACAAATACAGCTATCCGCAATATAAGAACAAGATACAGATACAACCTTCATGTGCCGATTTCTAACCTCAGTAAATATCAAAATGAGTTTACTATACTGGAATTAAGTTATTCAATAATCTTCCACCTACTATAAAAAGTTTAAACCAAAATATAAAAATGTTTAAGCCAGAGATAAAAGAGTACCTCTTATCTCACTCCTTCTACTCAGTAAAAAAATTTATAAATACAAGTAAGTAATAATAGTAATGGTTCTCATCATAATTATTTTGCTGTAATGCCGTAGTTCCAAAAATCTGTCAATACCTATTATAACTATTTATTTATATTTGTACTAGAAACAAATATTGTATTTGTGCTATGACCTGTTCTACATCCTTGGCTTAGGCCTATGAAAGATCCATGGAATGTAAATAAATTCTTTTCTATTCTAATTATGAATTATCAGCACCAGACAAAAACTTTTAATGGACAGCAAGTACTTTGAAATTCTAGACACAAATATTCTAATATTAATTTCGTTTTCTATTAATATTTCTTTAGAGGCCTGGAATTATTTTTAAAAACCATGCAAAGTACACCAAATCAAGTTCTTTTTGACATATTTCAACATAGCTGTATAAAACAAGTAAATGTCTTCATTTCAAAGACATGAATATACAGATTTCTGCTTGTAACTATTTTCAACTGAATTACAAAGTTCAACTGCTTGCATGCCTCCACTGTTCAAGTCAAATATGCATTACCAAGGCCAATCTTCGGTAATAAGGGAAACGGGTACGCCCCCCTTCGTTACAACGTACGTTCAATCCAAATCATCATCAAGTAGGATGTTTACTAACATTGACAAGCGACAACAAACATTGGTATGTGTCAAAATGAAGTGCCAGGAATTAGTTTGTTATATTTCATACAAACACATCCAACAGTAAATAATTTCATTCCACACTTGTTAGAAAGACGATAAATTATGGTATGTAACAGCAAAATATTTAATGAAATCACGGAGGATATGGGATTTTCATGCGTTTTAAAGTAGTTAAATACGATTTCTAGAAACAACCCGTATTATCTACAAGTAAGACACTTACCTGCCATTTCCAACTATCCCGCTCGAATTACGTCTGCGCGTATATGAATTCTTCAAAACTCACCCATAATCATTGGCATTATCCATATAAATATCACAATTTATATCCATTTCAAAGATTTTAGAGATCGTGCCACTGACCTTCGACCAACAGGAAGCAAATTTACTTCCAGATTCTACCGCTAGATGCCTCGCATTGTGAGGCCGTAATAGTTTGTAATGATCCCAGCAATACATCCATATACTTATATGTATATTAATCTCTTCCTATAAGAACATTGTAACTAGGTTATAGATCACTAATTGTTGTCACATTTTATAAAAAACAAACAAATTATAGTTATCAACCATGTTTCAACGCGGTGAGTGCTCAACTGTGTACCTTCTTTCGGTCTTCGTTGGTTCAGTTGGTCACATTGGTATATAAATCGAATGCATGGTGAGCAATGTCAAAGTACTCGTATACAATTGTTGCGAATTATTGCTGGATGCTATGGAATATATGTTTCATAGCAGGTTGCTGCTATGGAATGAATTAATCGTTGATTTTAATTGTTAAGATCGATGGTTGTGTATTTTTCTACTAAGCCGCAAAGACGTTAACTATGGAGTTAAAAGTCAAACAGCTGCAAATATAGGGTTTAAATTTCTTATTCCTACATGGAAAAGGTAAATGTCTCTGTTTCATCTGCAATATATTGGTTTTGGAGTGGGTATTCATACAGTAGAGAATGACAGAAATCAAAATTACAGACAAAACTAAATTAAATAAAGAACATTTTAAATTCATTAGAATATTTGCTACCATTCAGTTCATAACCCTTTCCCTTCCATCTATCTCTTAACAAAGATTAAAATGGCAATATAGAACTGTTTTACCTTTTGTATGGGCTTGAAATTTGGTTGCGCAACCTAAGTTGAAAACGTTAAGGGTGTATTAAAACAGTGTGGTGAGGAGAATATTTGGACCAAATAGCCAGGAAGTAATTGGAGGCTGAAGAAATTGCATAATAATGAACTTCATAATTTGTGCTGTCCACCAAATAATGTTATGATGATGAAGTGAAGGAGAATGAGGGAAAGGGCATGTAGCGCACAGCGGGGAAAGATGCACACAATATTTTTGTGGAAAACCTGAAGGAAAGAGATCACTTGTGAGTCCTGGCATAGATGGGAGGATAATATTGAAATTTACCTTACATAGGACATGAGTATGTTGACTTGATTCATCTGGCTCATCATGAGATCCAGTGATGGGCTCTTGTGAATACAGTAATCGATCAAGCTTCAGCCCTTATAAAAGATAGAATTTTTTGATAAGCTGTTTGCTTCTCATTAAGGACTTTGCTACATACAGTTATTCATTGATTGCATTCTGCTATTTTGATTTCCACTGCTTCCAAGCAGAGACGCCGTGGAACGGAAGACCACCCTCCTTCTCAAGAAGTCATCACTTCCAGAGGAGGTCACCAACAGCTAAGCCCCCATGGTTCGAGGCCCCCTAGACTGTATGGGCTACCTAAGATCCACAAGGAAGGAGCTCCTCTCAGGCCCATCGTAAGCACCATCGGCGCCCCAACCTACCGGTCTGCCCAATATCTTGCGGGACTACTCGGTAGATTGGTGGGGCACTCTCCACGTCACGTGAAGAACTCCACCGAATTCATCAATACCATCAAGTCGCTCCATGTGGGCCCTGGGGACATCATGGTCGGTTTCGATGTCGTGTCTCTCTTCACCATGGTACCCGTTGGTGAAGCCCTACGTCTCCTGGAACGGCACTTCAATGGAGACGTCTTTGGGCTGTTCCATCTTGTACTAACATCATCCTACTTCAAGTTCGGCGGCCAGTTCTATGAACAGACCTACGGTGTGGCTATGGGTTCCCCACTATCACCTGTCATTGCCAATTTCTTCATGGAGCATTTTGAAGAAATGGCGATGGACGGGGCGACCTTCAAGCCCCTCTGTTGGTTCTGTTACGTGGACGACACATTTGTCATCTGGCCCCATGGTCCTGGCAAGCTCGCGGAGTTCCTCAACCACCTCAACAGTATTCACAAGAGCATCCAGTTCACCATGGAGACAGAAAAGGATGGCCATCTCCCATTCCTCGACATAGATATCCACCGGAAACCTGATGGCTCATTAGGCCACAAGGTTTACCGGAAACCAACTCATACTGACCTTTACCTCAATTCCAATTCCCGTCCAACAAACAGGCTGTACTTTCTACCCTGGTACACAGGGCCAAGGCCCTTTGTGGCCATGAGAGCCTAAAGGGTGAACTGGGGATACTCACCACCACCTTCAAGAAAAACGGATACAGCAACCAACAGATCCAGAGAGCTCTCAATCCGCCTGCGAGGCTGTCACCGCCTCCTGAAAAACCAGCCTCGGTTGCCTTCCTGCCCTACATCGGAATGACCTTCAACCGCATAAGCAGGCTGCTGGCCAGGCACAACATCAAGTCTGTTGGTCTTCCGCCAAAGAAAATTCCCAGTTTTCTCCGGCTGGTCAAGGACGACCTAGGACTGAAGATGCCTGGCGTATACAGCATTCCTTGTGAGTGCGGTAAAGTCTACATCGGTCAGACGGGCCGTTCCGTTGAGGCCAGGATCAGGGAGCATGAGCACCACATCTGGATCGGGCAGCCTGAAAAATCTGCGGTTGCTGAACATCACTTCAACATGGAACACTGCATACAGCTCGGGGACACTTCTATCCTCTCCTCAAAAACTGGCTACATGGATCGGATAATCAGGGAAGCCATCAAGATCAAATTACATCCCGATAACTTCAACAGGGAGGATGGGCTTTACCTGAGCCGGTCCTGGAAGCCTCTTATTCACACTCTTCAAGGACTCCGAGAGTGAGCAAGAGTGCACTGCCAGAAACAACCAGACCACTAACATGGCCCTTTCCATTCAACCGAACTCCACCTTTCTCTCTCTACTTTCTTTCCCTCTCTCACACTCGCCCACACACTCCTATTGGTCCACTCCCATGCCTGCTCCCATTGGCTCGGGGCAGGCTACACCATTCACATTCCGGCACCTATAAACCTAGCCCCACACACCCTATTGGCTTATTCATCGCCATGATGACGGAGGCAGTATGACCTCTGAAACGTTGGTTAACATCGACCAGTCTACACAGCGCAACAACCCAGAAGACAGAAATATTCATACTCACCACTGTGAAAACCTCAAATCTTACACAGTAATACATTGATTACAGTCACTGCTACTAAAAATCAGTCACCACCAGTTTATCAATATCTGAAATAGTAATGATTGAAGTTGCAGTTTACATTTCACTGCCTAGATTAAACTGTAATAAACAGCTGCAGTAGGTAGCTAGGTGGCCAGTAACTTATTTGGCACTGGAGGAATTTTAATTTGTCTCTGCAGAGAGAAATGGCAATTATACAACTTTAAATTGAAAAAACATATTCTTTACAAGTATATCTAAATATAACTGAGTATTATAAAAGATATATTGTTAGGAGATGATAGTCTCATTGGCCAATAATTAAATTATTTTATAAATAAATTACTTCATCTCACACAACAAGCAACAAATATTTATGCTGAATAATTGAATAGCTCCCCAGAACAAAGTTGTAACCAGGAAAATATTTCTTAGAAAATAAGAAGAAATTATTTATGCTAAATTTTTCATAAGAATCTACTTAAATACATGCATTATAATCACTGTTGACATCAATAATCTTACAGTTTCATTTTTATAAGATTCCTGAAGAATTTGGAGAGGAACAAGTACGTAAGGAATAACATTTATGGAACAAGGTTGTATACCATCTTGTTACACTATTCTCTCAGCCTCTTAACTTTATGAGGGACAAATTTCCATTAAGTCTGAGAAGAAAAAAGATCTCATAGACATATGCAAGTGTATACCTGCAGAATTCTGTGTATTCGATGAGAACCTATCAGTTGAATAAGTACTATAAAATACTTGTATTTCATTGAATTTGCTGTAAAAATGTTCTCGTATATTAAGATATCAGATTGCATTCGTTTGCTTTTTTGTTAAGTGGTATGTTGTCTTTATTACAAATATTTGCTGTGAAAATGTTTAGCTAATAATGCCATTCCAGAGTTAAGTGCATGTTAAAACAATGTTATGTACAAAGCCAATTTAATAAAGTGTGTTTCCAATAAAATATACTCATTTTTCATTCAGATATGATTATTTCTTCAGTCACAACCATGTGCTTAACACCTGTTTTTTACACCTTTTACCTTCTTACAATGGAGTGCTGTTTCCAGAGTTGCAACACTGTAACCATTCCCCTCCTTCCTTGCTGATCACAGCCTCCAGTACGATGTGGCTGGTAGGGATTGTTGGGTCGTCAGGATATCTCAGGGTTCTATGCTCAGCTCAGCTAGTCGGTATGCATCAACTCACTCTCATTTGGTGTCACGGCTAGTTCGTAACAGCCAGATTGAACACTCGGATTGTTTGGAAGTAACACACTATTTATTTAGGACCTGTGTGATCCTTGATGTTTTACACTTTGTTAGATTTCACAATTCTCTCAACTGCACAGCCACACACTGACTTCTCAATCACCTCCTTTCTTAATACTGAAACTTTTAATGTAGTGTAATGCAATCTCGCAAAATAGTAATCTGGCAATAATCTTGAATAACCCTCTGCGGCCAAAATAGCCCACTTTTATACAGTAAGCACCCTTATGGCTAGAGAACCAAAATTCCCAGCTTTGCCCAAAAGGAAATGTAACATCAACTCCTATTGGCATGGGTCCAGGTTCAGTTCGAAGGACCTCCCCTTTCCCACCAATCCTTGGGGAGTCCCTCCCACAGTCTTAATTCTAAAGGGCATCACCAACGAGCGGCAAAACCCACTTAGGCTAAGAGCAGGTAATTTATGTACAAGGGAATTTCCAAGTCTGGAAATTTCTAAAACCTCTGCATTCCCACGTACTTCAGGTACCGCTACACTACTTAGTATCGGCTGTCCATCGTCGATCCCAAGCTTACAATATTTCAGAATATAAATGAAATACAAAGGAATCATAAACTAACAAAAGAAAAGCAGGACAATAAGTGGCTAATACAAAACCCTATGACCTAGCACATAAAAGTTGGATTTCTTACAAATATAGAATTAGCATACACCAGTACAGGGATTGATGAGGGGTTACAACACATTATGGCTCTTTTGCAGTAATGCCATTGTGGAGTATTCATATGAAGCCAGTCTGCAGACATAATTTTCATGTCAGCATCTTTCTTCAAGGGCTCTTCCAGAAGACTCAAATATTTGAAGTCATAAGATTCCATGGGTAAACAGAAAATGGTTTCCTCGGTCTGGAAGTAATAATATCAGTCCACTGTCCTGGATGGTAGGCTAATGTTGTCTTTCAGCATTGTTCGATTAAGGCAAAGTCCCTGTCACAGGGAAGGAAACTGACCACTAACAAGAAATCTCTGGTCAGTTCTTTTGAAGAATTTAAGACTGATTAAATACTAGTACAGAGACAGCATGTACCAGTTATATTTATGTGCAGTGTGGCAACAGTTTGTAGTTAATGGTAACATACTTCAAATCACAGGAAGCTATTTTTGCTAAGCCTCTTTTTGCAACACTTTCATGCCAGAAACACATAGCTGCATCATTCATATTTGTGTTGTAAATTGTCAGTTTGTAGGAAGCGTACTGTCTTTGATTCTCAATATCTCTGTATTTTTCTTCTGTGTCAGCTACAACAATCAGAATGAACAGCTTGTCACATAAAATGTGAATACAAATATAACTTTAAACTATGAAGGACACTAATGCCAAACGCATTTTGACCTCAAGAGGTCATCAGAGGCAAAAAAATAAGTTAATTCATATAATATAAATCAAAAGATTATGGTTTTTAACAGAGCATAAAGGTAAGTTCTTTACAAAACCATATTTAGTAACATTTCACTGGATGTTGGTTGCACAGGAGTTGGTGTATTATATTGGGCACTTAGCTATTAGTCCATTGTCTGATGGCTGCTGCTGGTCTATGGTGAGCCGTGGTTGCGTTGTTTGTGCCTGTGAACTTCAACAAAGCGTAGGCGTTACTGTCAGTTTTGAAATGTGTAGGGTATATATTAATTCTGAAATCAAGCATTTTACCTTTTGAGGCTATTCTTAACACGTCCATGATATCTTCCATGGGGCCATATTCATGTCCGTGGTCAAGGATGTGTTGAGTGTATTTCGATTTTGTTAAGTTGAATCTAATGTCATGGACATGTTCTTTAAATCTGGTTTTAAAATCCCTACTGGTTTGTTTGTATGCATATTTTATATTCCAATACACTACACGGTATACAAGCTTTTAATCTTGTCACAGTAAGAGCATGTATCTGATCGAGGGTTCCCTAATCTCAAATTTAATTCAGAATTGTAAATATCTCTATGTATTTTTACTGCACACAACATGATGTTTTTCTTTGAATAGCTAAAACAGTTTGTTAATGTTAAGTCACGGCTTAAGCAAAGTTTTCCTTGCTGTAATGTCTTGGAAGTGCACTTATATATATCCTGATAGGATCCATAATAGTGCTAGGACTGGCATACAGGCAGTTGCTTGTTTTTTCCTGTCATCCAGTTCTGCACATGCCTTAATTTTTCTTGTAGTTGTTGAAGTCTACATGGCATTACTTGATACACATCACACAGAGTTTTTGACATACATGGTACATGGTGGTATTTGCCATAAGAACATAACTGAATGTGCAGTGTCTGTGGGAAACAGCATCATTGACTTCTCTTCATTCTACTATGACTTGTATGCACCTCTGCCCCAAGAATAATGTCTGATTGTTGTAGAAGTCCTGGAAGATCTTCCTTTTGTCATCAAAACCCAGCATCCCACAGTCATATGAACAGTGGCAAACTCAAGCCTTTACAGGTGGAAACAAAGTCTTAAATACTATAAATGTAATGTATGTCAATTAGTCTGCAAACAAAATACAGTCCATCTATTTGTATTATAATAGAAATGTGTGTCAGAATTGGCATGGGTTAAAATGGCTTTGGATTGTTTGTATGATAGTTAATGCCACCATGGTTTATTGAAAATTGTGGCCAGATTCAATGGCACCAATATATTTTTTGATATATAACTGAACGTAACAGTTATGTGAAATATACATGGCAACACTGGAAAGGAAATGGTTTGTTTTCTCGACTACAACCTTGTTCAACTCACCTCATTTGGTAGTGATTTTCCAGGAATACTCTTCTCTTTCCTGAAATACAGGCATTTCCAGACTCCCTTAAGGCTTTCCAATTATGATCAGCTGGCTCACTAATGTACACCTTCTTTTTCCTGCCTTTATTCACGGTTTTTCGGTGCTGCTCAACACAGAGGCACCTCTACTTGCTGCCATTTTCTCATCTGTTATAACCTTGTTCTGCTGCCGTGTCTTTGGGAACAAGGTTTATAAGGAAAATGGTACATTGATGAAAACTATGCATCATCTTAGGTAGTTCCACAAGTTTTACCTTATTCTGTTTAACTCAGCATGCCAAAAAATGTGGGTCATAATGTTGTTCTGGGAGCTACTCAATTAAGTTCCCTGCAACCATCCTGTCACTCCACCTTTAACTTACTGAGCATCAATCTTGGTCACACCTGATTCTGTTCATGAGATTCAATCATGTGATCAAAGTACTGTCCACAGATTGGGAGTTGGCAAGGCAGTTATGGTGGAGGAACAGGTGGTCTTGAGCATTCTACTACCATTTTTGTGTAATATCAGATTTCTTGGATTGTTCAGCATTGATGCATGTTTTTCGATACGAGTGCTTACAGACAGTTGTTTTGGCATCATGTGGAGTAGTGGCAGGCAATTGAGTAAAATTGCCTTGCCTTCTCCCAATCTGTGAACAGTAATTTGTGAATATGTTGGATGTGTATGTGATCTGTTTTGCTAGACTAGTACTTGGTAGGAGACATTCTTAACCTCAGGACCATTTTCTAAGCAGGTGCATACTCCTTGAGAAAGGATGGTGTGGTATGACCACAGAAACAAACTGGACTCTTAGTGGAAGATCCAGACATCCCTTCCTTAACAGGATTAAAGAGGAACAAGTATCACTTGCATCACTGAACATTTCTTTGTAATTCTGTATGTTATTTCCAAGTTATAAGGTAAGGAGATTTCATTACCAGTCAAGTCACAAAGCAAAAGCAATTTTAGCAGGGAATTCCATTATCTATCAGCCACAACATTGAAAGCTATAATAGATTCTCATTTGTATGAACTGATACCAAAGATACTTAGAAGTTTGTCAGTTTTCCTATGTGGCCAACACAGTAAGATTAAAATATTTATAGAATCATGGTGTGGACTTTGAGAAGTCAGTCAAGACAAAAGATGGGTGGTCATATTAAACAATCAGTTATGTCCAAATCAATATAATTGTGATGGTTCTGTAAAATTATGGCAACTTTGACATGCTGCTAACTTGTAGAGGTGGCCAACTTAACATATTTTACAGAAATAAATTATGTTGCAATGTATAAGCTGTTACTGTTTTATTCATGTATTATAAACAATTACTTTGTTTACATTGCAGTGTGTGAGAGAATTTATCAGCATGGCTGAAATTATTCTGTCACAGAATACCAATGTTGTTGATTTAACAAAACAGTAACTGTGAATATTGTAACCAGTAGTACAATAAGAAACATTAAACATGAAACACTGTAACAGTCAAATAAGATTAGACTTTTTAAACTACAGTGTAATAGCTATAAATTTTAATCATATAAATTTACACAACTTCAGAACTTTTTGGCACATGTCAATTTTTTTACATATTGATCCTCATGAAATGACCCTCATTACAATCCCAAATCTTATTAGTTACCTTCAACTGGTTACATTATTTGAATCAGTCATGGAGCAATACAGTAATATATATATATATATAGTATCATATATGTACAATTTACATATTGTCATACACTCTTTTCTCAGATAACATTTATTTGTGTTTTAGTAATAAGTGTACTTGAAAAGCTAGAAAGTTTATATCCAAGAAAAAAGTAATAATAGTGAAATGTGTGCTTTTTATATAGGGTTAAATTACTTTCAGTGAGACTGTTGAGGTGGAGTATGGAAACAACAATAAGTAAAGTAAAGTAAAGCAGTCCCACTACATGCCA